TCGCTCGCAGTTGACCCTCTACGGGTCCTGTCGTCACTCGCAGCTCCACGTCCCTTCTCTGTCCAGCCGTTCCCTCGGGCTCCCTTACCGGCCTCCACGTTCCCTCGTTCTCCAGGAACCTAGTTGGTGTCGGCTGTCTTCAGGACCTCGGCGTCACCACTACGTTCCCTGGGCACGAGCAGTTCGCCGTCTGTACCGAGGCTGTCTCAGGTACCCCTCTTGCGACGTTCCCCCGCGACCCGGTGTCCAGTCTGTTTACCCTCGACACCGCTTCCCCCCCGGTGGTTGCGTCCTCCCAGGTCGCTGCAGCTTGTTCGTGTCGGTCCCTCACTCACCCATCCCTTATGTGGCACCACCGCTTAGGTCACCCTGCTCTCCCGCGTCTGCGTCATATGTCCCAGCACGGTCTTGTCTTAGGCCTCCCTGCGTTGCTCCCCACCCTTCCCCCCTCGTCTGCTCCCCCGTGCACGCCTTAAGTCGAGGGCCGGCTCCGCCGTGCCCCTCACTCCTCCTCGCTTCGCCCTACTACTGCTCCCCTTCAGACCCTGCACCTGGACGTTTGGGGCCCTGCCCCCGTCCCCGGACCGCGTGGCGAGCGCTACTTTCTTGTGCTCATCGACGACTACACGCGCTACACCAAGGTGTTTCCCCTGGAGCGGAAGGCCGACGTGCCCGACGTTCTTCTACCGTGGGTTGTGGCTGCGCGTCTTCACCGCGGTCTCCCTGTGTTGTGTCTCCACTCCGACCGTGGAGGCGAGTTCGCCTCTGGTCGGCTTGGCCAGTTCTGTCGTGCAGAGGGCATCACCCAGTCGTACACCTTGCCGGACTCCCCACAGCAGAATGGGGTTGCTGAGCGCCGCATCGGCTTGGTCATGGAGGTCGCCAGTACCTCCATAATTCATGCCGATGCCCCCCATTTTCTGTGGCCGTTCGCTGTTCGCTACCCTGCTCACCAGCTTAACTTGTGGCCACACTCCCAGCGGCCGCAGGTTTCGCCGACCCTCCTTTGGACCGGGTCCCCGGGTGACGCGTCTGCGTTCCACGTATGGGGTTGCCTTGCTCACGTTCGTGCCTCTGGCACGAACAAGCTCACTGCCCGCACGGTCCCCTGTGTCTTCCTCGGTTTCCCCCTGGACTCGTTTGACTGGCTCTTCTACCACCCGCCGTCTCACCGCTTCCTTCACTCTCGTGACGTCACCTTTGACGAGTCTGTCTCCTTCTACCGTCGCTTCCCTCACCGAGGTCTCCCAGTTTCCCCCCCCTTGTTCCTTGCTCCCTCTCCACCGGTAGCCCCTCCTCCCCTCCCGCCTCGTCCTGGCCCGTCTAGTGTCTCTCAGGTCACTCCCCTCCGATCGGTTGTCCCCGTTGAGGAGTCTGCTGACTTTGGTGGTCCCCTCGGCCCGTCCTTGCCGCATTCCCCTTCGCCGGTGTCTCCGCACCCGCTGTCGCAATCGCCGCCGCCGCCGCCCCTGCCGCTCTTGGCCTCAAGGGGTGCTGGCGTTGAGGAGGGTGTTCGTCCTGCGGCTCCTGGCGTGGTCTGTCCCGGCGGGCCTGGGGGTGCCGCTGGTGCTGGAGGTGGTTCTCGCTCTAGGGGTGTTGGTTCTGGGGGTGCTGCCGTTGAGTGTTCTCCCGGCGGTCGTCGTGCTCCTGCCGGTCTGAGGGTCGCGCACCAGCCGCCGCAGCAGCCGCAGCAGACGCCGCAGCTGTCGACGCCGGTCTCAGCTCTTCGCCTACTCGGCCTTCCCTCTCCTGGCCGCTCGCTGGTATCTCCCCCGCCACCTCCTCCCCTTTCTGTCTACGGCACTGTGTTCCCGCTGCGGGACTCGTCTTCGGCCCGTCTTCCTCCTCGTTCCCCTCTTGTGTCCCCTCCACTGTCTCCTGACCCTACACTCGTCGTCCCTCACGTGCTCGTCCCGTCTCTCCTCTCCTACGCTCCCACCCTATGTTGCTCCGTTCCCACTCGTCTCGTCCTCCCCTCCTCTCGTCGCCTCCTCCATCGTCGCTTGTTGTCGCACCTCCCTCGCTGTCTGACTACCTTCGTGCCGCTCGTCCCCTTGTCCCTCGGGTCCTTGCCTCTCTTGTTACAGACCCGTCTGTTCCTGTCTCGCGTCTTGATGCGCTTGTCGCTGCTATCGCTGACTTCACCTCTACACGCTGCCTTGACTACGCTACTTCTCTGGTCTCTGACCTTGGCCGTCCTCCTTTCGTCGGGGGTGCACCTGCCCTTGGCAGTGACGTTCTAGAGGACAGGCAGTACGGGCTTGCTTTCCATTCTGAGGCCGCTCCCCATCTCTGCTCCATGCTCCTAGTCCCAGAGGGTGACCCAGACGCCTTCGACATCCTGACCCCTCGCACCTACGCTGAGGCGACCTCGGGACCCTGGGCCTCTCAGTGGATAGCTGCCATGGAGAAGGAGATGGCATCTTGGAGGTCCACCAGCACTTACCTCGACACAGTTCCCCCTCCTGGGGTGAACGTAGTCGATGGTCGCTGGCTCTTCAAGGTGAAGCGCCCCCCTGGAGAGCCACCTGTCTTCAAGGCGCGCTACGTGGCCAGAGGCTTCAGCCAGCGCGAGGGGGTTGACTTCTTCCAGACCTTTGCCTCGACCCCGAAGATGACCACTCTTCGGGCACTCCTACACGTAGCAGCACAGCGTGACTACGAGCTTCACTCCCTCGACTTCTCCACTACGTTTCTTCAGGGCAGTCTACACGAGCAGGTTTACCTGCGCCGACCACAGGGTTCACTGGTACCTTCCCCCCTGGGACTCAATTGCTTCTCAGGCGCCTAGTCTACGGCCTGCGCCAGGCTCCCCCCGAGTGGCACGACACGCTACGTGCCACGCTTGCAGACCTGCAGTTCTTTCCGTCCTCTGCTGACCCCTCACTTTTTGTGTGTTCCGGCCAGACTCCGTTCTACATCCTTGTTTACGTAGATGATCTGGTCTTCGCTACTGCTAACAATGACGCACTGGCCTCCATGAAGGCAGAGCTGCTGTAGCGACACACGTGCACTGACCTTGGAGAGCTGCGTCGCTATCTTGGCCTATCGATCTCCAGAGACAGAGCAGCGCGCACCATCACTCTAACACAGTCACACTTGGTGCGTCAGGTCCTTCAGAGGTTCGGTCTTCAGTTCTCCTCTGCACAGCCCACACCTCTACCTGTAGACCATGGGCTCTCCGCTCCCGTTCCTGAGGAGCCAGTAGAGTCCAGCGGTCCCTACACAGAGCTGGTGGGTTGCCGCATGTACCTGATGACTTGCACTCGCCCAGATCTCGCATACCCTCTCAGCATCCTGGCTCGCTTTGTGGCCACAGGCAGACACCGACCACAGCACTCGTCGGCCGCTAAGAGGGTTTTGCGATATCTAGCAAGTACATCGGGCATGGGGTTAGTGCTTGTAGGACGCAGGCCAGTGGTCCTTACTGGGGACACAGACGCTTCTTGGGCAGACGACTCTGAGACTCTCAGGTCGTCTCAGGGTTACTGTTTTAGCCTTGGGTCAGGTGCTATCTCTTGGAGATCCACTCGCTCGTCGTCTGTTGCTCAGTCCAGCTGTGAGGCTGAGATCTACGCCGGTGCCATGGCGGCACAGGAGCTCCGCTGGCTGACCTTCTTGCTCACAGACTTAGGTGAGCGGCCTTGCTCTACCCCGGTCCTGTACGCTGACAACAGGGTCATGATTCTCCTGTGTCAGGAGCCTCGACTTGAGGGCAGAGCGAAGCATATCCAGCTGCGGTACTTCCTCCTGCGCGAGCTACAGCAGCGTCGCCAGGCCCGCGTACTTCACTTGGCCTCCGGTGCCAACACAGCTGATATCTTTACCAAGGCACTTGCGCCTAAAGATCATCAGCGGCACTGTGTACAGCTTGGTCTAGTTCTTGTAGCTTCTCTCTTGTTAGGACCCTGATTGTGTACTCTCTACTATATATACCTGTCTGACTGGCCTTGTGGCCTTACCTCCAGTGGTTGGACTAGTAGTGCCGCCCTAGCTTGCGTTAGTCTTGTTTGTACTCTTGTTGACTGGTCTCCGGACCCCTGCCTCAGTGGTTGGACTAGTAGTGCCACCCTGAGCTGTGTGCTTCTTGTTTAGCACCACCCCTTCTCTAGCCTAGGGGGTGTGTCAACTTATACATATGTTGTATGTAGAAGTTATAGGCTAGACGGGGTGTGTGCTTCTAGTGAGTACAACCCCAACAGGTATATGTTATAGGTTTCTTACACTAGTCCATCATTCTTGCATTCTAACATATCTAACCTACATACGAGAAGGCACCTTGCATGTTCCCAGACTAACCTGCAACAAAGCACAGCTGCGAGCAACACTTGGTCATCCAACACTGCTGGAAATCGCATGTCCAGACACATAGTGCACGTTCCATCAGTCCATCTTGCCATGCATTTGCCTCGTACCCCGACTTGCAGTACTGCCGCCCCATGAACTAGCCGCCATGTGTGAGCCCCATGGATGACGCCATCACGACATACACCAAGTGCTGCAGAGCACTCTCCAGCTTCTCCCGTGCCGCCTCCCCATCTGCCACCAGCCCCTCTGCCACACTGCCTCTCTTCACCTCCACTCGTCTCACCAATGCTGCTGCTGCTGCTTCCCCTCCGTCCCCACCTTCCCCTGCTGCCTCTGGAGCTCCTTTCTTGGAACCTTTCTCTGCTGCAGCAGCCACTGTTGTACTGCCTGCGCTGACGGCCTGGAAAGCCTGCTCCACGTCAGCAACACCTGAAGGAGCGCCACAAGGCAGCAGGACGGACACATGGGTACTATCGAGACGAAAAAAATGGGGGCGACAGGCCAAGCGGAAACAACTGGGCCAAGGCACAGGAAAGAAGCATCGACAAACAGGGGCAACCAGAGGAGAACAGGGGCAAAAATCGCATAGAGTGTTGGAAACGCAGGTAAAAACAGGCATACCCTAAGTGGCCATAAGCTGCCCGACGAGCATCTGCATGCACGCAGAAAGCACACACCTTTGAGGAAGCTCCTGATGACAGCCTTTGCCCCCCTTGCAAGCGTGCGAGCCCGTGCCACCACCAGCCTCGCTCTCTCCTCCCGCCCTGCTGGCCACCGGAACGGACCAGACCCACCTCCTTCCTCCCCCTCTGCTACCTCACCCCCCTTGTCTGTTGCGGCGGTGCCTGGCTCCTGAGGCTTGGCAGCAGGCGAGGCGATGCAGGAGTTGGCAATGTGCAGCATGTGCAGCAGGCACAGCGCTGACAGCTCCGACAGGCGCTGCCGAGGAAGGGGAGCAGGAGGGCGGGGTAGAGGGGATTTTGGATGGGAAAGAGAGATGGAGGGATGGAAGCGAGAGCAGGAAGGGAGGAGTGGGGGGGAGGGGAGGGTAGAGGATCTGAGATGCCAAAGACACAGTGCAGATTGCTCAGGTGACGGAGGAGCTTCCCAGGTTCGCATGCCCAGAACTTCCCAGGTTCGCATGCCTGCTTCCCATCCAGCGGTCGCATCCCCCCCTCCCCCTCCTCCTCCCGCCCCAGGATCACATGCACATCCCACCACCCACTTACATGCACGCCCTCTGTGCGCAGTGCATCGAGCCTGTCCACTGTGCGCTGCACCGCTTCCTTCACTGGCACCTCCGCACTCAGCTTCGCACGGAAACTGCCATGCACACGTCACACGACACATGGCACGTGGCACATGTCACACGACAGATGGCACGTGACACATGGCACATGGCACATGACACATGCACATGCACAGGAGGGGGTGGTGGGTGGAAAAGAGCGAGAGGAAGGTGGTGGAGGGGAGGACTACGTGATGGCGAGAAGGGAGAGCTGAGAAGCAAGGGAGGAGGAGGAGCAGGAAAGGGACATGTGTGAGAGAGGGAAGGATGAATTGGGTAGAAGTGAGAGATGGTGGGGGTGCAGGGGAAGGGCGAGAGAATACGCGCAGCACATGGGCATTTCAGCCTCTCTCCCTCAATCCCTCACCCCTCCCTACTCTCCCTCTCTCCCCCCTTTCCCACCCCTTCCCTCCCTCCTCACAACCCCTCCTCCACACCCAACCCTTCCCCTCCCACCACACAGCAGCACAGCAGCACAGCCCCACAGCCCCACAGCCCCACAGCCCACTCACCCACTGGCGAGCTCCTGCGCCTTGCTGACACTGGACTCCCGGAGCACGCTCATCTCATCCTCCTCCTCCTCCATGCCCTCTATCCCCAGAAGCTCCATCCCCTCCCCCCCCTCACTCCCCCCCTCCCCCTCCTCCTCCTCGCTCTCCCCCCCACCATCCGCACCCAGCGTCAGCGCCCCCTGCACGTCCTTCACAGCATCGTCAAACGCCGCCCGCTGCTCTGCTGGCAGCTTGCCGCGCGCCCGTATGCACACTACCGTATGGTGGTCTGCTAGAGCCTCCAGGGACTGGCGGGAGGCGGGGGGTGGGGGAACGAGAGAATGGGGGAAAGGGGAGGAAGGAAAGGGTGGGAGGAATGTGGGAGGAGGCATCGAGGAGGGAGGAGTTAAGTGGTGGAGGCAGAGGAGGGGCAATGAAGGTGCTTGAACCTCTTTCCCCGTGAGCTACAGTGCAGTCTTCAGTGCAGCTTGCTGCCTGCTCGTATGCACAGTGCACACCACTGCGTGGTGGTCCGCTAGGGCCTCCAGGGACTCGGGGGGGGGGGGAGGGGGTGACGTGGAGGGGACAGTGAGGAAGGGATGGAGGGAGAGGGAGCCGGGGTGGGGCTAGGGTCTGGGGTTGGGAGGAGAGTGTTGCTATGGAGAGGAAGGATGGAGACATTGCCCTGTACTCCTCCTTTCTCATCCTGCAAGAATCAGAAGAATTCCTGGGACATCCTCCCCCACTCGGTCCATCACTTGTATTGCTCCCCCACTCCCCCACTCCCCCACTCCCCCACTCTCCCACTCTCCCACTCTCCCACTCTCCCACTCTCCCACTCTCCCACTCTCCCACTCTCCCACTCTCCCACTCTCCCACTCTCCCACTCTCCCACTCTCCCACTCTCCCACTCTCCCACTCTCCCACTCTCCCACTCTCCCACTCTCCCACTCTCCCACTCCCACACTCCCCCACCCCTCACCCCCCACCCCCCACTCCCCCACTCCCCCACTCCACTGCTCCACCCCTTCCTCCCCACGGCCCAAAGGCATCCCCTTCCAGAAACTCCCCCCCCGTGCGGCACTCGCTCACATCCACGGTCTCCCGTGCATCACCTGCCAAGCAGCCCATATGTCAAGCAGCCCACCTCTAGGTGCTCTGGGCCGCCGTAGATATAGAAGCAGTGGTCAAACGACGTCTCCTCCTCCTCATCATCCCCCCTCTCCTCCTCTGCCTCCTCCCTGCCCCAACCCCCCCACCCCCTCCCCCCAACCCCCCATCTCCCCCTCCTATCCCCGCCGCAATCCCCCCCAAGATCCCCGCAATCCCACTTCCAATCCCCCCCACTCCCCCCCCACCTCCCCCTTCCCCTCCCGCTCTTGATCCTCCTCCCGCCCCTTTCTCACTTCCCCCTCCCCCTCCCCCTCCGCCTCCCGCTCCTCCGCCTCCTGCGCGTTTCTCCCCGTCCCCGTCGCCGTCCCCCTCGCCGTCCTTCTCCAGCTCGATGCCAGTCTCAGCCACGATCATGTCGATGGTGCCCTTGCCCAGGGCTTCCAGCATGCGCATGCCCTGCTCCGCCATGCCCATGCCGCTCTGGGGAGGAGGGAGTGGGAGACGGAGGGGGTGGATGGATAAGGGGGGTGAGAGATGAGGGATGGGGAGGGATTGGGAGAAGGAGGGGGTGCTTGGATAGGGGGGATGAGAGGTGACGTATGAGGGGGGTTGGAACAGCAGGGCGGGAGGAGAGCCCCCAGATGAGAAAAGGAAGGATAGATTGTTGAGTCCATCCTCGCCACCTACGCAGATCCCACCTGCCCCACCCATCCCCTCCTCTTCCCACCCTCCTCATAGCTGCACCCTGCTATGTGGCTTGCTCGCCTCGCATCCCCATTCCCCCAGGCCATCAGAGAGAGACGGAGAGACAGCGTACTTCAAGGATGGAGGCTGAGCTGATGGGCGCCGCATGAGAGGCCGTGGTGGTGGTGGTGGTGGTGGCGGCGGTGGTGGTGGTGGTGGTGGTGGTGGTGTCTGTGGCTGTGGCTGCGGCCTGCTGCTGTATCGTCTGCACCACTGCGCCTGTGGACTGCTCTAGTCTGCAGGGCGTAGGGAGAGGAGCAAGTGAGACGAAAAGGGAGGGACGGGAGGGAGGGGAGCGAGGGGAGGGAAGGGAGTGAAGGGAGGGAGGGGAGCGAGGGGAGGGAAGGGAGTGAAGGGAGGTAGGGGAGCGAGGGGAGGGAAGGGAGTGAAGGGAGGTAGGGGAGCGAGGGGAGGGAAGGGAGTGAAGGGAGGGAGGGGAGCGAGGGGAGGGAAGGGAGTGAAGGGAGGTAGGGGAGCGAGGGGAGGGAAGGGAGTGAAGGGAGGGAAGGGAGTGAAGGGAGGTAGGGGAGGGAAGGGGGGTGACGTTAAGGCAGGGCGGGGAGGTGGTATAGAGAAAGGGGGTTAGGGAAGGGTAGCGAAGGGTAGGGAGTGGTACGGAGGGGGAGGGAGGTTGGTTGGTAGGAAGGAAGGGAGGGACTGGTTGTGTGCTTTTTAATTAAAATACGAAGAACCGTTGGAGAGAGAGGGAGAGACAGCAGTGGTTGTGGTGACATACTGGTGCACGAGGGAGAGCCCTCCCATCCAAGCGCTGCCCAGCACCTGCAGCGCGCCTGACGTCAGGTTCTCCATGGACTCGTCAAACGCCTTGAAGTCCTGCTCGCACACTCGCATGCACGCATTCACACATGCATGTGGCGCACACATGCACATGGGCAGACATGACAGCACACCCGCATGAGCACACGCATGCACACACGAAGGAGCACAGAATGGTACAAAACAGGAGTGGGAGATAGCGGAGGGTGATGGTGATGCGCTCACATGGCTTTCAAGCCCGCACCCCACCATGCCCACACCCCGCTATGCCCGCTCCCCACTATGCCCGCACCCCACTTTGCCCACATGCAAGCGTGTGCCCACATGTAAGACAGAGCCCGCATGTAAGAGTGTGCCCAGACAACATACCGGGTCGATGATCTCAGGCCCATCCTCCTCATCATCTCTCCCCGCCTCCCCTCCACCACCACCTGCGCCCTCCACTTTCCCCTTCTCACCACCCGCCGCGTCCCCCCCTGCACCCGCCTGCCCTTTCTCCGCCTTCACCACCGCTGGCGCCTCCCGCACCACCGCCCCTGCAACTGCAACTGCATCTGACCGCCCCTCACCCTTCTCCTTCCCTTCCTTCTCCGTGCCTTCATTTCCCCCAGCAGTCTCCTCTGCTCTGCCAACACCACCAGCAGCAGCGGCAGCAGCAGCATCACTGCCATGGCCTTGCTCTCCGCTCCGCTGGTCCTCTGCTTGCTTCGTTGTTTCACCCTGCGCCTGCGCCACTTTCCCCCCCTCCCCTTCTCCCGCTGCCGCTGCCGCTGCCTGCCCGTCCACGTCTTCAAACGTCTCCAGCATCTCTTTAGCCGCCACGGTCGCCTGGAGGAGAGAGATAGCGGACAGGGGACCTCGGGTTAATGGGGTAAACACCTTTGACAGCATTTGACATGTATCAACAGCCGCTGCCTGCCCGTCCACTACTTCAAACGTCTCTAGCATTTTCTTGGCCGCCACGGTCGCCTGGAGGTGAGGGATTCGAGACAGGCGAGCACACGGTTGTAGAGGGTTGTAATGGGTGTGGTGTGTTGCAGCAAGTGACGGTGTGGCACAGTGCGGCGGTGAAGATTTGAGCTTCGAAGCTCAAGGTTCGACCAGGATCAAACCCGAACCACCCCCTTAGGGTTGTTGAACGGGTAAGGCAGAGGGGGTGGGAAGGCGGACGGGGAAGCGCTGTGAGCGCGGGAGATGGTGGATTGGCGAGGGACGGAGAAGCGGCGGCGGAAGGGCATGCAGATTGATAGGGGGAACCGAATGCGAATGGATGGAAGAGGGTTAGTAACGGACCGGACCCGTTCGATCAGTCCTCTCCACAACTGCACAAAGGTCCGGGAAATTCACACTCGCACACTCACCGCGTGCGATATCTCCCCTGTGACCTCCGTCGCCACCTCCTGCAGCGCCGACACCACCGACAGCGCTGCCGCCCACCCTCCTCCCCAGCTGCCCCACCCCCCGGCCCCCGCACTCTCCTCCTCCGCAGCAGCAGCAGCAGCAGCGGCGGCTGCTTGAGACACCGATGCGGTCGCTGTCGCTGCCTCGGCGCCTGCTGCGGATAATAGAGGCCTCGCCTCCTCCTCCTCCTCTTCCTCCTCCCTTCCTTGTGCGGAATCTTCTCCGTTCTCTCCGTTCTCTTCCCGCTGCTCCTCGCCTTCTTCCTCCTCCTCCGCTTCTCCGTCCTCCGCCTCCTCCCCCTCCTCTGCTTCCTCAGCTTCCTCTGCTGCCTGCTCCTCCGTTTCCTCTTCTTCTTCTACGTCTGCCTCTGCTGTCCTCTCTTCTGCATTCTCCTTCGGCCCTTCGTCTGCTGGTTCTAATCGCTCGTCCTTCTTTTTCGGTTCATCCACCCCTTCGCCCGCCATGGCCGATACCGTGCCGCTAGAAGGGCACGGCCCGGCAGGAGTCTAATAACCACCACGAACAAGAACGAATCAGCAAGAGGCAGTTATCTAAGCTCCAAAGTCGCTACGCAACTGACCGTCGAAAAGAGAATGTGTGAAAATCTGCCGCCGAAGCCGCCTTCACTCGACAAAAAATCCGCACTTCCAGCCGTCAGGGTCGTTCGTCCGACACTGGAGCAGCTGCGAGGAAAATGCGAGACTCAACTGGCGGTCCTGAATTTGGAGCAAACCAGTGGTCGTGACTACGCACTGTGGCGTGGAGTCAGGGAAGGGGACCAACCGATCCCGCCATGACGGCACAAAAAGAAAGAAAGCTTGCAAGCAAGTTACGGAAAGTGAATCAGCCGCGCTGAGCCACTGAGAGAGTGGGGAGGATGGATATTGCAGGCAGTGTGCCTCAAGCTCCCAGAGCATGCCATTCTCAGCTGGGTGCCTTGTGCTGCACTGAGTCAGTGACCACACCATCGAACCGAACCAGCGCCCAAACGCACAGCAGACCTAGAATCCGACGAGCAGGTTGCGAAGCAGGTTCGGAAACCTTGGCTTGGTCAGTCACGAAGCAGCTGACAAATGACTTTGGAGGGAAAGTGCGAGTCCCAGCGGTCCTGACAAGTTCTGACGTGGCAAGTCGTGGAGATTCCATTTCCACTTACTGAGTCGTAGTATAATGACGATCAAAGTGCGTGTGTCGAATAATTGAGTAGCGAGGAAAACAATATAATTAGGCAACATCAAAACAATGGGGAGATATAGCTAGGCCTAGAGCACACGGCTGAGGCTTGGCAGAGCTGAGAGACGTGTGGATTGTAAATTAGCGCGTAGCGCCCAGGTCTAGACATGAAAACAACAAGGCGGGAAAAATGCATGCGGTTTGTCAGGAGACCACATTTGGGTGTCGCGATTTGAATATCGTGGCAGAGCTGCGCGGCAACCTCGTTATACTAGAGTACGCCTTACAAAATAAAACCTGTGATAAGGAAATACCATTTCCCTATACCCTCCCCCCTCCAAGGTATGGTATTTGGTAAGATTGCCGACGTCGCGCACACTACGTGACTGGAGGTAGATGTCAAGAAATATATATACTGTATACACATAGTGCTCGGAGAGGGTTTAGCTAGGTAGGAGAAGTTTAGCGAGATAAAAGAGAGTTGACTAGATAAGAGAGAAAGGTACAAGAAGGGGGTTGTCCTCTCTACTGTAGGAACCAGTGTCAACTTATACATATATTGTCACGTAGAAGTTATAGGCTAGATAGGGTATGTTCTTAGTGGGTACAACCTAAACGCTAAATCTCCCCTGTTCTCCCTTCTTCTATTAATTATTTCTAGTCTCAACATGGTATCACGAGTAGGTAGGTCCACCCACCCGCTTCCGCCCCGTGCCGCCACCTACCGGACCCTCGTGCCCCTAGCTGGCCCCGCGCGCCCCTACGGCCGCGTCGCGCCCCTAGCAGGCCCCGTCGTACCCCTACGGCCCCGTCGCGCCCCTAGCAGGCCCTGTCGCTCCCCTACGGCCCCGTCGCGCCCCTACGGCCCCGTCGCGCCCCTAGCAGGCCCCGACTCGCCCCTACGGCCCCGTCGCGCTCCTACGGCCCTGTCGCGCCCCTAGTCGGCCCCGTCGCGCCCCTACCGGCTCCTTGCGCCTCTAGCCGGCCTCGCGCACCACTACGGCCCCTCGCGCCCCTAGTCGGCCCCGTCGCTCCCCTACCGGCCCCTCGCGCCCCTAGCCGGCCCCTCGCGCCCCTACGTCCCCTCGTGCTCCTACCAACCAGCCCCACGCGCCCTTGCCGGCCCTGCTCGCCCTAGCCGGCCCCTTGTGCCCTAGCCGGCCCCTTGCGCCCTGACCGGCCTCGTCGCCTGAGCCGCTGAGCCGCTGTGTCCCCGAGCCGCCGAGCACCCGCGCCGCCGAGCCGCCGCGCCCCCGTGTCGCCGTGTCCCCGAGCAGCCGCGCCGCCGAGCCGCCGAGTCGCTGCGCCGTTGAGCCACTGTGCCACTGTCACACTGTGCGATGGCGGACGCCGTTCTTCGCTTGGACGCTGAGGGGCACGCCATCGACTTCGCCGCCTAGCTCGTCGACTTCCGCCGGCACCTGACAGGTCAGCGCCAGGATGGGCACTCCCTGGCTATGCATATTGATGGTTTGCTTCCCCGCCTCCCTGCGCCTAATCCCTTCCCTTCTGACCCCACCACTGCTGAGAGCGAGGCCTTTGCTGCTGCTGTGCTTGCTCGAGCTGTGTGGGATTCTCGTGACGCAGTAGCCCAGCTTGCCATTAGCCATGCCCTCCCCTTGTTGAGCGTCCGCACTTTATCGTTGTCGCGAACGCCAAGGACTTTCTCACGGCAGTAGTTGAGCGTTACTCCACACCTGCTTCCGCCTCTGCTGACCGCTTGATCCTACCCATGCTCTTCCCTGATCTTTATGCTTTCCCCACGATAGCTGACCTCGCTACTCACCTCCGTGCACCAGAGACCAGCTACCGCGCTACTAGCTCTACCGCCCAGCTTACTGCCTTCCCCCCACCTTTCTGCGCTACCCTGTACCTCATCGCCATGCGCCTGCGTGACCGCTTAGCCACTGCCCGCGACCACTTCTTCAGTCAACACCCTGCCGACCTCACCCTGACCGCCTTTGTCACTGCTCTGTCTGAGATAGAGACTCGCCAGCGCACTATCGCTCAGTCGAGCGGTGTTGCGGCAGTCCCTATCTTTCAGGGTTGTGCCCCCTCCTAGTGCACGTACGCTGACGTCTCCGCCGCAGTTGCCACGACTACGCCAGCACTTGAGACAGCAGCTACGGCTTACCCGCAGCAGTGCCAGCGCTGGGGCCGCCGTTGCCCCAAGGGAGGACGTGGAGGTGGCGCCAGTGGTGGTGGTGGCGGGGACAGTGGTTCTGACGAGGGGGTTGGTGCTGGTGCCAAGGAGCAGCAACAGTCGCCGCAGCAGCAGCAGCAGCAGCAGCCGTGGGCTCGTCTCCTGCCCGGGTGGCCAGGAGCCTCTGGCGGTGGTGGTCGTGGTGGTGGCCTTCGCAGCTCGGTGCCCACCGGCAGCTTCGGTGCTGTGAGCTGCCAGTACAAGCTTCAGACCGGGCCTCTGTATGGCACGGTGTGCCGCCTCTCCTACCCCACCGCCTGTTGCTTCTGCCACCTCGACGACCTCTTCCGTCGCCGCTTTGGTCCCCCCCCAGACCTCCCTGACTGGCCCAGCCTGCTACGCCACGATGTGCCTGTGTTTGACTTAGACATGGATCAGATTAGTTATGTCTTGCATTCTCTGTATGCTGACGCTTCGAGTGTTTTCGGATCGTATTATTATGTGTTCACTAGCTTAGGCATAGCACCTGCGTGTAGTCTAGACTCCCCTGCTGCATCAAGCGTAGGACAGCTTGCTTTGTCTAGCTTAGGCTCTACCCTTGCTCCTCCGTCGTCGTCCACTACGGCATCGCTGTCCTTCACTCTAGACTCTGGTGCGTTAGCCTGTTCCTTCCGCGACCACGCCGCCTTCACGCCGCAAGCTGCGCCTGCCGCTGTCGAGTCCCGTAGCGACAGAACCTTGTTCAGGTGAAGTGAAACTTCGGTGTCGTCGGACTCTAGTATAACATCTCCAATTTTGGTGGCTTCAATAACTTGATTGCTGGCCACTGTGATGTTGTTTTTTTTCTCCATTTGGCAGGTCTCGCCAGTTGAGGGGATTGTAGTGAGTTGAAGATGCCATGTGGTGACCGCAGTAGCTGTCAAGAAACCAAGTATTAACATGCTCGGGATACGTCTGCACGTTCAACTGTCGAGGAAACCCGTTTAGCTGCAACAATAGCTCTTGCATAACTAGAGTTATCAAGGCTCATAGAAGCTGTAGGATGCGATGGAGCTTGTTGTTGTTGCTGAATAGATTGATTTTCATCAAGGAAGCGAAGTCAGATAGATCGTCAGTAAAAAGACCTGAAGTATGAGAATTCGTAGTTGAATTTCCTGTCTTAGTAGCTAACATAATGATAGATCTATGACTTACAACTTCAGGGGGGTGTTCGAAATCAGCTTGTATCGGTTCCTGGAACTCCACTAGCTCAGAATACCATGTAGAAGTGAACCACGTGTTTAGGGTGGCCATGATCTATAGTTGGTGGAACCACGAGTAAAAGTCAGGGAAGTCTTTACACCTTGTATTGGAAATGCCCGAAATGACAAGGATGATAATAATGAGTAATACAGACATATTTATAGTCTAGGAAGTACCTCTTCGGAATGTACCTGCTCGTAGTGTATCACGACTATTCGCGTAACATGACTAGTGACTATTCGTGTAACTGAGAGTGGCGTGACCCTTCACGTAAGTATACGCGCGAACCTACTGTTCACGCGTCGACTCACTACTGCTGACGTCATCATGCGCGTCCTTCCATATAAGGTATCGTGCTACTAGTACAGTCTAAGTATTACATCAGGAATGCCTAAGTAAACTATGTCGAGTATACTTCAATGACGTCGAGGCCGCCATGGCAGCGCGTCGAGGCCGCCACGGCAGCACATCGAGGCTGCCACGGCAACGCGAGGAGGCCGCCGCAGCAGCTCGACGAGGCCGCAGCGGCAACTCGACAAGGCCGCCACGGCATCGCGTCAAGGCTGCAACGGCAGCATGGCAAGGCCGCCACGGCAGCGCATCGAGGCTACCATTGCAATGCAACGGGGATGCCACGGCGGCGCGTCAGTGGGAGGAGAGGGAGAGTGCTATGCGAAAGCATGAGGAGAAGGCCCGAGCGGAAGGACCTACTCTGATAATATGTTAGGAGAGGGCCCAGCTAGGTAGGAGAAGTTTAGTGAGAGAAAAGAGAGTTGACTAGACAAGAGAGAGAGAGGTACAAGAAGGTGGTTGTCCTCTCTACAATAGGAACCAATACTTTTAGTACATGTACCTAGCCTACACATATATATAGAGAATGTATATATTGACACATAGTTAGTTTATATATGTTTGTTATATAGCCTAGCTAGATCATTTCTTAGAGGCGACAATATTTGTATTTGTATCTCCCCTCCCCTCTTCCTAGTCACACTTTTTCCCGCTACTCTAAGATGGTATTGAGCTAGGTTTTTTTTTTTTTTTTTTTTTTTTTTTTTTTTTTTTTTTTTTTTTTCCGCCGTTACTCACGCTTCATCCGTTGCTGTTTTTGGTTTGTTTTTTTGTTTTTTTTTCTTTCTTTCTTTCTTTCTTTCTTTCGCGCGTGTGCAACTCTCTCAATTTCGCGCACCCCCTGCCCTCCAATTTCGACCACTATAGCCTCGACGCCCTCCCCAATAGCGTTCGCGCAATTTCGTACAGCAGCCAGCAGGCCGGCGAGCCAGCC